TTTACCGTCCAATATAATTTAAACAACAAGATATCATTATGAAATGAAAAGTTTCTTTCCACGTCGCTAAAACCAACAAATACTAACCGAAAAATATCGCTTTATTAACTTTTATGACACCGGCTCCAATCTCCAAAGGGCCTGTAATAACCTATACCCTATATAGTACAGTTTGATTCAGGCTCTCAAGGGAAAAATAGTACTATAATATTTTCCCCCAAAAACAATGAAATCGCTACTCTGCCCTCGTAACTCACGCCATACACAGCAACAAAGAAAGGGGTAAACAGTGTTCTCAATTTCGCAAACCCACAAAATTCCTCTACATTGACAGAATCATGCCCGTGTACACTCCACGCGCCTGCATTGCCGCGGTGCCCAACCTTTCCATTTATGCACACTCGAGGGCGACGTGTATCAGAGAGTCAAAAGAAATTTATAGACAGTTAGTTGGCCGTACCGCCATTACAGGCTCTTCTGTCTCTCTTTTCCCTTCCCCTTTCCATGGTGCAATCCACCAATAATACTAACAAAACCACTCATTACACAAAATCCCACAAACCTTTATGAAACCATTTTCAGATAACAAGTAAAAACAAAACCAGAGTTTGGTTGGGGTGATTTTTGCACTCTCTTTTCTCCAATCCCCTTTCCCTTTTATCCCCCCTTTTTATTTCCCCAGTCAATAGCATAAACTGCCTCACAGATGCTGCAAAAGCTTTGAACTTTGAACGTATCTGTCTTGTCTTATAAATGGGTTCTTGTTCAAAAACCTTATAAACTTCAAAAAAAAAAAAAAAAAAAAAAAAAAGCTTTTCTTTTTGGGGGGGGTTGTTTTTCTATTTTTGCCCCCTTCAAAAACAGACAAAAGCCATCACTTCATATTCCTTGTAAACAAGATCACTGGTGTTTCTCTTGTTCTGCTGGTTTAGGTTTCTCTTTTGCTCGAGGTCCAGCTGGCTCTCTGTCTTTATTTCTTGTTTATTTATTTATTTATTTTTGTTTTAATTTTTCTATGATTTACAGTTGCTCCCCACTTTCTTTGGACTCATTAAATCTCTGTTTTTGTCATGCAGACTTAGCTGAGTGATGTGAAGTATGTGAGTAAATGAGATTTCATGGAAGCAAAATGGCATTCACTGATGAATTTTGTTAGTTTTTTTCACTCTGGTAAGTTCTCATTTCTTTTAGCTAAATGCTGCTTTGATTTGTTCCGTGATGTGTTTGTGTCCTTTTCTTTTGTGGGGCAATCTAGGGTCTCTCTACTTTTATTCCGTGGTTCAGATTCACTTTTCTGGTCTTCTTGTTTTAGTTTTGATTTTCTTTACTAGAATTGACAGAGGAAGGATTAAAGAAGGATTAAAAAACTGTTTGTGGTCATCTATATGGGAAAAAGAAGGAATTTTTAGTTTATGTTAGTCTTTTTTCTTTTTCTTTTTTTTTTTTTAATGTTTGGTCAAAAGAAGCTTTAGTTTCAATTAGTATGGTTTAATTAATAAATCAGTGTAAAATTGAAACTAGATGTATGATTTAGAGACTGTAATTGCTTCTGCACAAAAGTGGAAATATTGCTAAGATTTAGCCTTGTCTTCATGTTAGGTTATTGTTGTGCTTATAATTAGTTTTCATTTGAAAAAAAAAAAAAAAAATGGTGGGGGAAAGATTCTGAAAAATCTCCCTTGAGCGTTCTTGTTATGCAATTTTATGTTTGGATATCTTGCAAAGTTGTATTCAAATTGTTGGGGAAGGATATTGAAAAACGACATTAAAGTACGCTTGACAATGAGCGTCTAAAGAACATTAAGGTAAGTGTGAATTGGTGGTTGTCATTGAAAATTAGGTTCTTTTGGAGTAGCAAATGTACAGGGGCTGTACCTGGTGGCAATGAGAAAAAGGAATAGTCAGAATTGGGAGGGCAATTAACCATTCCACTGTTTATTTTTTCAGAACTATGGCCTGTATGCCTTCAATGATGTAGAAAATTTTAAGCTGGAAAATGGAGTGCTGAAGAAAGGGCAGGATGCAGTTGGATTAGCTTTGTTAGTATTATATACTTTTTGGTGATATTTCAGCATCGAGAAAGTGAAACTTGAGATAATGTGCAGTCTGACTAATTTTATAAGGTTCTGAGGGGTATTAAAATTTTCTTGTCTTGTATTGCTTAATAATGTTGGTCATATAAGATTTTATTTACATAAGAATAAAAGGTCAGTTCTCTCTTGCCAAACTTTGGGAGGCAAAAGATAGGAACTTTGGAAGAGAATTCTTATATTTCATAATGACTTAAGCATATGATTTTGACTTTCGAACCACCCTGAATTTTCTATGTACATATTTTCTTTTCGTACGTCGGATGATGGGTGGTTGAGATCTCCAACATAGAAATTCAAGCCCTTAACCACTAGGATGTGATCAAATATTCTATGTGCATGGGAGTAGAAGTAATAATGTTAAA